TTTTTTTTTATTTTTTTTTTTATTTTGCTTTTTTATGTTTTTTGCCTTCATTGTTGTTTTATTTTTTACTGCTGTTTTTTGTATGTTATTATTGTTTTGTTCTTATTGTTTTTTATTTTATTTTATTTCTTTATTTTTGTTTTTCAATGTTATTTTTTTTTTTTTTATTATTATTTTGTGTGTTATTCGGTGGTCCATGTCGGTGGCGAATAAATTATTTTTCTTTCTTTCTTTCTTTCTTTCTTTCATACGCATAAATTGAAAATTGAACAAAGCGTAGGGCCCTGAAATCCCCAAAGGTAGAGGTAATAAAAAAAATTCTCTGTGGAACACACATTTCATAGCAGTTAATTTAGGCGTCCCATATAACAGAGGATATTGCTATACAGCAGTCATAGTTTTAAACTCAACTACAATATTTTGTTTTTGTAAAATGGTTTTAAAAAATGGCTACCTAACCGGAGCCGGAGCCTGAAAGGAGTATACGTGATATGTCACCGTAGAGACTCGCGCTAACAGCTACACGGCCATCAATAAATCGATACCTACTTTATAATAGACTAGTGATTTGTAAATATATATTTCATGCTAGAATAGGGTACATGACTAATTTTTATTTTAATGTCCGTTTGGTCGATTATTTAAAAACATAAGACACGTATTTTTTATTTTCTTACGGAAACAAATTCTTTCGGCAATATATATAATTTGAAATATCGCATGACGTCACTTTAATGTACATTTTATACTCAAAACTGACGTAGTTAGCTCCCACTCCTAAACTTTGATTCATTTTAATTATTAAATATTGTTTTCTTATATGACAAAATTAACAAATACGTGTCTACTATTTTTCATTACCTTTCTGACGGACTAATTAGATTTTTAACTCGTCGAGTACCGGTTTTGTAGACACAATTATAGAACAATAGGTTGCGGTCACCGGTGACCGCTTGGTGTTTGACAGTTTAATTTTCATACCTTGTCATCATCCCCATTGCCTAGTCTTGTTATCGATTGATTGCAAGGATGGCTGTTGACAAGACAAGCATGGCCGCGAGGATGACCTCCTAATTAATCGTCATTATTTATAGTAACCGCTATAAGTACATTATAATGAAATAGTAGCTTAAATAATAAAATCTTCAATAGTTATTTTAATTAGAAAGTAGGTACATATAACTCGGAAAAGTCACATGGATATTTGCCGTTGATAAGTTTCGAACAGGCGTCTATAAGCTACGGGCCACCACGATATTTAAAAATGAAATATGTAGTAGCTTTAAAACAAGTTAGCAATAATTATTTACTAAAGCAATTTTTTTGGCTTTATTTTGCTTTTGGCATAGGCCATGCAGGCGGGTCACCTGATGGTAAGCAATATGTACCGCCCATAGACACCTGGAACGCCAGAAAAATTATAGCTGCGTTGCTGGTATTCTTCTATTAAATTAATCAACGTTCCATCCACCCAAAGGTTATCTGGTATCGCTTTTAGCGACGTGGCCGCCCTTAGTGCCCTACTTATCACTACATAGTATAAAACAAAGTCGGTATCCACCGTCTGTCTGTCCCTATGTATGCTTAGATCTTTAAAACTACGCACCGGATTTTAATACGGTTTCTTTTAATAGATAGAGTAAGTCTTAAGGAAGGTTTAATTATATATATAATACACGCATATTGCACCCGTGCGAAGCCGGGTCGCGGTACTTGGTGTTCAGTAAAGTTTATCTATCTATGATCAGATTTTTCGTATTTTCAGCACTGAGTCTGAACTGTGTTCGGTGTGTGCCAATAGAATCATCCCCTAATATTGAGGATTGAACATAGTTGACATAGATGTTGCACTGTTACTTTTCTGCCTACCCCTTGTAGGGGTTTACAAGTCGTAAAGTTATGTTACGTTTCCAATAAATCAAGCAATGTGATTTTACAGGTGTGATTGACCCCACTAGTTCGGGAGCTTTCGTAACTATTCGGCAGAATTCGGACCACGATAGCTTCTCCGACACTCGATATTGTATGCACGCTGACTGCGCGGGTTTGTATTCACTTCCTTTAAGAGGAAAGTATAAATAATGTTACCATGTTACTGCCTGATTTTTTAGCTTTCTATACGTGCAAGAATTTTGAAAATCGGTAGAGTTTTATGAGATCTATCTTAATTAAGGCGAACTTCCTTTTGATACTTTTAGTTGGAGACTTGAAGTAGAGAAATATTGCACTGTGGTATTAATATCATCATGTTTATAGGAAGCAATGATAATATAAACAAAGTGGCCAGAACCATAGATTATATAGACTAAAAAAAATAGAAAGAAAAATAATTCATTGTACTATAATCATCTATATTTCCAGAGTACAATGTAAAACCCACTTTTCACTATTATGGTAGAGATGGGATTTTACCCGGAAAAAACCCGAATATGGGAAAAAACCGGGAAAAAACCCGGGGAAAATTCCCGAATGGGAAAATATTCGGGTTTTTTCATATTTAACACATGTAACAAATAAGTAGTGTGTAGATTATGTACATATCATATAGTACGTACTATTTAAGAACTATTACTACAAGTTAGAGCTAATCTAACTTTGTTTATGTTCATATTGCAGTAATAACGTTCTTAATATCCTTAGGGACCTACTATCAAATGAAATAAAATGAAATTAAACAAAAATCCTGTCTGTTTGTGTGTGATCCTCCGCTCTTAGCGACAGGTAACCCGAAAATACGTGAGCGGGTAGAGGGGCAGGGAAGCAGGTAGTAGAGGGGCGAGCGCGTTGGTGATCTATCTATCTCACACGTTGTTTCGGCTTCATACTGTGCGCACTCGTGTTAATTTGTTGGTTTAATTGACGACTTGGATTTTGTTTGGTGGACTTTTGGTTACCTAATCCTTTGAATTGACAACAACTGCTACTCTTACGGACTTTGATACCTACTTTTTTTACGAACGAAATTTACCGGTAAATTTACAGTTTTGTAACTTTTGTAAAGTATAATAAATGATTGTTAGTAAGAGTATCTCTCGTTGTTTTAATTATATTATTTTAGTCAAACATTCTTTAAAGTTTAATAGGTATTTTTTCTGCTGTTAACATTCCATCACAGAGCGCAGTAAAAACTTATTATAAAACAAGAAGACGTCTTTATGGTGTTATAATAAATATGCTGGTTATGTTTTAGTCCTTGAAATAGACTACACATTTTAACGTTTCAAATAACAGACAACAGCTAGTGAAGTGACTCCGAACACGAAATTCCATTGGCGATGCAAAATTTAAGACAAACTCTTTGATCGATATTTGTGTCCATTATGAAATTCACAATATACATTATATATGATATTTCTGAAACCAGCGCTGTATTTAATATAAATAACAGATGCAACTCAAACTCCGCGCCAAAATGGAAAACAGTTGTGCCAATCTAACAACTACATAAAAACAAAAATTTGAATTTGGAACCATAAACAAATCATCCATTCCCGATACTTTTTTGAGTGAATGTAGGTATATGCGCATCACAAAGTACCTATTTATTTAGTTCTGAAAATAAAAATAGAATAAGATCATTATAAATGAAAATACCCGCCTATTGGGTTTTTTCCCACATAAAAACCGGGTTTTTTCCCAAATGGGAAAAAACCTGGGTTTTTACCCTTTGGGTTTTTTCCCAGTGCCCATCTCTAATTATGAGTACCATGTAGTGAGGAGTAAGCCTATTGCCATATACCGAAACATTTCCAGACTCCGTGCTATGACTGTGATTTTTTAAAACCCAGTATTTCTTTGCCTGACTCGGAAATCGAACCCGACCCCTTGAACCCCCCCGCAATCGAATCATCATCATTACAAATGTGCAAAGGCTAGGACATCAACCCATTCCAATATGTCAATTTTTGTCATTGGATTTTCGACTTTATTCCTAAACCATAGAGTTGC